TTTCCCTATGATTTTAGAAAATGTTTTTTCTCTGTTTATGTATGTGTGTCTCTGCATAAAGAATATAATATATATTACATTATATGAGATTTAGTTATTTGATTATGAGATTCAGTTTCCACAAAATTCATTGAATGGGGCAGAATGGCTTCAGTACTGAGGAAATTTAAAGGGCTCCAGTTCATGTGTACCTAGAGGCCTTGGAAATGCCTAGGCACATAAATGTATGAGAAGTCCTCAGTGGCATTTTACAGTGTTTAAACAGACTGCTGAGTTAATAACTACTGATCGCAATAGGGCTTAGGCAGCTGACTTGCTTCTGTTTTAGAAAGCCCTGCTACACCTCTGTGTGTGATTTTAGACTTCTAAGTAATGTTAAAATATGGTCTGATATTTAAATGTATATGCTTCACCTAAAATTTAAAGTCTACCCCATGTCACTTGTGACACTGAGTGCAGAACTCCTGAGTTAGTGCTTTGTGGTTTTTAGTTTCTATGTCCGTATCATCTGTCTTGTTAAGCTGCAGCTCTAAGATAGGACAGGGCAAGATCACCTGAGGCTTACCTATGCTACTGTAGGCAACTGTATCATATAATTCTTTTCATTATGGTAGTGATGTTTACTATAGATAACATTACTGTCTATTCAGTGAATAGAAATTTAGTCTTGTATTCTAGAAATTTAGTCTTGTATCTTCGGTCTAATACCTTTTAGACTAGTATGTATTTCAAAACTGACTTGGCAGAAAGCATATGGCTATAATGAGTATAAATGCCAATTATCATTACATTAGTAATGGTGCTCCTGGTTTGGGTTCACATTGTTGTTAGATTTGTATGTGTAATTCATTCTATTACGGAGAAAAAAATGACATTCAATTTGTATTACTAGCAGGTTGGAAAAAAAATTAACCCTTGGGGGGAGGAAAAGGTATTGTCTAAAGCACACAGAACCAACACTTTAGAAGGTGACTTCCAGAAAAAGGAGAAAGATCTGAGAACGGTTCTGTAACTTATTGAGTCAGAGATTGACTCCTTCGCTTCTTCCCTCCTCTGTTCCTCACAGCTCTTTGAGCTCTGTTTGCTTTTCAGAAGTATAACGACATGCTCTGAGTGGCTGAGAAAGCTTATTTCCTCCCTAAGCTGAGAGCAGACAGAGGATGAATGCTTTGGTAGTGCGCTGCTAATGTGCTGATCTGAACATCGGGGGAGAAAACAGGTCTTTACAAAGACGTAAAATGAAAAGATTTTATAACCTCTTCATTAGTTCTCATGTTTGTTTTCAGTATTCTCTGTAGCCATTTTTTTCTTTTCTGAAGACATCTATAGCTTCTTCACAAATTGCTTTGCCCTGTTGTTTTCATAATCCGTTTTTCATTGAAAATCTCATAATATAGACAGAGAAGATGTTCAGATCAGGCTCCTGGGTGCTGTTAAATGCACACTAAATACTAAGCATGCATGCTGGTGGGTATTTGCACTTACCGGTCAAGCAAGGATAAACTGTTAGCAACCCTGCAAAGAATTGCTAAGTACCCTGTAAGGCTGCCATCTCTGAGTTCATACGGTACATACAGTGTGGCTCTTCGAATAGTTTTTAAAAAGGCAAGACCAGAGAAAAAGTTAAGAGTGGGTAAAGAAGAGCAGAGCTGTGTATGTGTGGGCGAGGAGGAGAGTGTTTCTCCTGTACTCTGGTTTATTCCCTTCTCTGTATGGCCTTTTCCCCATTTCCCACGCATCTCTGTCACGCAAGGTTTTAAGTGACTCTCCTGTTGCTCTCTGTTGCACTCTGTGGAATAGTATTTGGGTCAGGAGGGGTCAGTTAGCAATGGCACTTACCAGGGATCAACCAGCACAGGGCCAACTGGACTAGGTTTCCACTATGGGCTACCATACCATCTTTGAATTTACAAACCTGGCCACGCAGCCTGCTAAAGGACGTCCAGCCGACTGCTCCCTGATGGCATCTTAAGTTCAAGATCCCCACAGTGCATTCTTGCATCCATTCTAACCAAATAGCACCTGGAAAAATAAACCCTTTTTGACCACAAGCTCTTACTGTAACACCTGCAAACTACTGTGACAATCACTTTCTAGATACCCTGAGTATAACATAATGTTTTTGTTTTTCTTCTGAAAAGGGATCAGAAAAATGACTTGGTACGTTGCCTTCTCTGAATTCCCATTTTCTGTACAGCAGTTTGAGCCTCTGCACAGATGCCTTTGTTTTTATAGTTTACCTTTTCAAATTTTTGTATCATCTGAATACACAAAGGAAATGTCTCTTTCTGCCTTTTTTCCACATCATCATATGCGTTATATAAGGAGAAAGAAATTACAAAAAGAAGGTTGAATAGCAGATCTTGTTTTGCAGCCACTCGCAAAGCTTAGAACCAGGTCTGTTTTCATCCTGGCTGTTATTTCATACATGATGCTGAACAGGCATGAAGAGCTTTTCTAGCATTCGCCATTTTTTAAACTCTGATTGTTTGAACGGACAGCTCCTTTAACAGTGGTTCAAAATATTTTGTGAATTTGTGCCTGATGGTGTGATGTAGCTCTAATAGTGATCCCAGTCGGAACAAATGGGGAGAAGAGTCTATAAATTACCACTAAGCTGTAGTCACATCTGCTGATTTCTGAAAGCCAGCCATTACTCTTGCTGATCTGGTGAAGATACGAATGCCTTCAGCTGATGGCTTGTAGGAGGCTCCCTTGGGGGCTCAGAAGGGCAGCCACAGCTGTGGCAAACAGTGGGCTCTTTTAAGATGCCTGTATGAAACTCAGTACAGATCAAGGAGACCAGATAGGTAAAATGGTTTTGTTTTGGTTTTTTTTTTTTGAAATGTCACTTTTCTATGCTGTCCATAGAGCTCCATTTACTAATTTTCAAAAATGGATTATGCTGCATAGTAAATGGTCAGTGTACAACAGTTAAAAATAACGAAGTGATGCCATCTACTGTCTTAAAATCTTATTTAATATTACATTTCATGACTGAATTGTAATCCTGAGAAGAAATTGAAACAGCCTACACTGAGTATAATGTCAGAGCTGTGACGTGCTATCTGGTCCGTATCAAAGTTATGCAATATAAATATTGATTGTGATTAAATACAGTAGACTACAGAATGTCAGAAGGAAATGTGATGCTAGTGTCAATCCAAAATAACTCCTCAGTGAATCTACTTTGCAAATAACTAGAGATTTTTTTCAGGCTGCTTTGTTTTTGATATTTCTGAGAGGAAGATGTAGAATCCTGTAGAATAGAGGGTAGGTTGGAAGAACATGGCACACCATCCCTTTAAAGTGTATGTTTATTAAAACTTCTTTGTTATGTCGTGACATTCTTCACGTTACATCTGTGTTTAGTTGTTACCCACAATGGCTTTACTTTTAGGTGCTTTGTGGAAAGAGTTAACCTGACCATGGACTTCAAAGAAGTTGAGAACCACATTTGTGTAAGACGTATTATTCAAAGAGAATTCACCCATCGTCTCGAAAAGGTAGAACAGATCATAACATTTAACAGTTGAATGTATACACTAAACTAAATTTGAAATGAAGCTGACTATGGACTACAATTCTCAGCCTTGAAACGGTAGCTCATTCAGAGAATATTGAATGTTTGTGTATTTCATGCATGTATATGTATTGTTAGGTTGGTTGGGGTTTCGACAGCAAAAGTTAAGGATGTATTTTCTTCAAATGCAGCTATGCCAGATTGTAGTTCACAGGTTGCCGCTTAAGAAACAGTGAAACATCTTAGACTGATCTGAACATCCTGCAGTCAGCAGTGCTTAGCAGGTATAAATGGGTGTGGAACCAGAGAGGCAGGATTTATACTTAGCATTTAACTCTTTCTCCCTTTGTCTTCGTTTCTTTTTGTAATGGTCTGTAAAGCACTGAGATAATCTTGGCTTCCTGTACTTTATTTTCACATTAGTGAAAATTATCTGAACCCTGTGATGTAGACTATAGACTCCAGTATTGCAGCGACTTGTAACTTCTTTTCCTGAATGGATATGCCTTGTTTAGTGTGGCATGAATAAGGATATGTTTGCACATAAATGTATGTAGAACCACAGGCTGATAATGAAATGTGTGATTTCTTGTGGTGGTTGGTTTTCTTTTTCCCCCAAGTATCAATACTGCAGTGATGTGTATTTCTGCTTGTATGTTAAAAGATACACAATCTGTGCTTTCTGACGCTTTTACGTAGTATAATTTTCATGGCAAAACTCATCCAATACGTAAATATCCATTTTCAGATGTGGTACACTAGAACTCTCCCATTCAAACACTATAAATAACAGAAGTCCTTCAGTTGCTTCCTCCCTCAGTCCTTGGGAGCATATCCATGAGATTCACAAATGCCAAACCAAGAGCGAATTAATTCCACAGCCAACGATCCCTTGAAAAGCCTTACTTTCCAGCTGCCTTCTAAATCAAAAGGTCTGCAAATGAGTGTGGCCCACTCAGTGCTTTGACAGAGAGGAAGCTATGCATGTATTTACATCCTTCTCTTAGCTTGCCATACCTCTTTGTTTTAAATTTCTGTAAAATTCCTTCTTCTGCAGCCAGACTGTCCAATCTGGAGCATCCAGAAATCATGAGATGGATTGAAAAATACGGAGACAGATTTAAAAAATATGTACTTGTTGGTTCTTTTGACTTTTTGTTTTCTAAACATTCACATATTTCTGAACTCTGCAGAACTCTGAGGGCTCAAATCCTACTTTAAGAGGCAAAATAAAATGTGAAATTGAGATTTCCATATAATCATGGGTTGGGCTTCAAAACACAGGAGCTTCCCTGCAGTTCACCGAGTTCACTGCAAAACGGCAAAGTGTCCATCAACCAAAAGCTGTAACAGTGTAGAATTGTGATGCATTTACTTAAATGCAAATCTGCTGTTGTTAATGTAGCCCAAAGTGGGCACGAACTGTGAACTATGTGTTAGGCCTTAGTTGGGATAGTCTCCAAACAAGTGGGGCAGGGGAAGGAGGGGGAAAGGACCTAATTTGGATAATACAATCTGTGAGTTCCTATTGTATTTCCAGGGCAAATGCTACACTCATAATTAGAGCATCAGTAACAATGTGAGGAAATGTTATGCTTTTGGCTGTAGAAAACCTTACCTGAAGTCAACAGTAGATTTAAAGCTCTTATTGGAAAAAGCAGGAGGAGATTTTATTCATCATGAAAACTCAAGGAGCTCTTGAGACGATGTTTTAAAGATGCAAAAATTACTCATGTTCTAATTAGCACATCCTTCTCAGGGAATGATGATTGGCTGTTAGCAAAGTTTTTCTGGAAATGTCGAGGCTTTTGGATAAGACATGTCTTCCGCCACTCCAGGCTGGTTGTTTGTAAAACTGAACTGCTTCGTATCTACAGGATAATGCAGTGCCAGAGTGGCCAGAGTGCTCATGATTCTGTGAGGTGATGTGGAAAGTGGAGTATGGATTAAAGGTATGGACGATGGGAAGGAATGACCAAGAGGTAGGGAAGATGGTAGAATGAAAAAATAAAAGGAAAACCAGGCTGTCAAAAATGGCTTCTTTTCAGTCTTCCCACCAAGATTTTCTTAGGCTACACTAATCTTGACGATAACAAAATGCTTCATAAATTCAAAGTGTAAACGCAAAGGATTTTTTTCTCTTATTCTCTGGTGCAGTTTTTAGTTTTATGACTCTTGTTCTTTTCCAGCTGAGTGCTATTTCCAGGGAAGCCAATTCATGCGTTTTAGAAGTGAGCAGTGCTTCGGGAACTCTCAGATCTGACTGAAAAAATACAAAACCTTAAGTGAAGTACTGACGTGAAGACCTAGAAATGCAAGGAACCATGCATATGATCAGTATTCATCTTCATTCCCAGTATTCCTGTTACAGTAACAGAAGTACTTCCATACCTTATCTGCTTTTTGGTTTTGATGCTGAATTGCCAGAAACATCTGATTCTGAGTGTAAACTCCAAATTATCAGAAGCTCCTCTTGGGCTTTGAAGTGCCATTCTGATCACTGTATGGCGGGAGCGGACTTCCTTGTCTTGCTGCAAACCTCAGGTCTGTCTGCAGGACATCATCAGGGCTGACTTGCTGCAGTCTAACACCCGGTGGGAAGATGATTGAGTTGAACGTGATTGCAAATCGTAATTTCTTATCTTTAAGCAGTAATACTCATTGCAGAATTTTGATCTCCGAAACAGAAAAGATCATCTTTTGTGTACCTATGTACTAGGTCCCCAAATCCAATTTCTCTGGTAATTAGCAACAAAAGTGCAGCAGTAGCATTGGGGATGCTTAGATTAGATGCTTGGCTGAATAAATAACTGGTTAGGATCATGGGGAAGATTGCTGGGCCAAAACATCTTTTTCTCTTTTCTGTTTTCTTTGTCAATATGATCCCAGAACGTTTAACACAACGTTTCTCTTCAGCCTAAGACTTGGATGAAGAATACCAGCTTTTCAAGGAAGTCTGGTGCTTGTGGGATAGGTTGCAAGTCTGGTGTAACATTTTATTGACTTGGAAAGATTTTCTTTAGTCCCTCCAGTATTACCCTGCTTTATTACCTCAGGTTATTTCTATAAGCCTGCTTTGTGAAAATTCTGTTGCATTGAGTTTCTTTATGTGACATAACAATTTAAATACAGTGGTGTGATACCTTAGATCAAAGTTGGGATTCAGTCTATACTTGAGATGATTTGCAATTTAAAAACCAAGTTCCATGTGTAGTTTGTTGTCAGTGTAGAAAATAATAAAGTTATTTTCACTTACTAGACCAAGCAGATAGAGGTATTAGGCCAATAAGCCACATTTGCTTATTTTTTAAAAGTATAAATCTTGCATCAAGATAACTTTTTGTGCTTGTTAGAGTGAAACTCAGACAGCTATAATTTTTAAGTAGAGATAGATATTCTTCTGAGGAACAAGAACACTTTTTCCAGTTCATTAATTTTCTATTGTTTTCCTTTTGCTTCTTGCTTGAATTTCATCTCTCAAACACTAGTTTCTTTGAATTAAGCAAATATATTTGTATCTATATAATAAGATATATTATATCTAGCACTCTATTTCCTTACTCTCTAAAGTGGGTGTAGTAAAAAGAGGAAGATTCGCTGAGTTACTGTTCTTGTTTCTTTCCCAGGAGCATTGCAAAATGTATCAACAATTTAGCAGTGTATGCATGGGTGCTTCTGAGGGGGACAAAAGAAAATTCATTGTTGGCCATGGCATTTAATTCATGTGTTTTGTATATGCAGTGCTTTATAGGAACCATTAACAGAGGCTCTTTGGAGAGTGTAAATATTACAAGAAACAGGCTATTTATAAAGTTTCAGAAAATGTCCCTCAATGCATGTGCATTATAATGTATTTCTTAATATGTTTAGGTAGTTGCTGTCATTGTTAAATTGCCGAGCATTTAATTGTAGTTTGTATCATCAGATCTGGACTCCATTCAGCATTGGTATTTCCCACTTGTAGTGCTTTTCAGTTTACAGACTTGCATATGTGCTGTTGGAAATTAAGGCCAGGGATTGACAGTGGCTGTGGTGGTGTGCCTTGGGGAATAATTTAGAGCTGATTTACACAATCAACTTTTAAAAAAAAAAAAAAAAAGAAAAAAGAAAAAAAAAGGAAAAAAGTCAGAAAGCAAACCAAAAACCTGCCCTGTTAAACTTTCTCTATATCTAGTTACACTGGTGTTTTCAAGCATAATTTGTTTTAGCCTTCTTTATAGTGTCTTTTATTCATTATTTAGCTACTTGCTATATTTACAAAATGCTGGAAGACTGGGAGGGGAGAGGAGCAGATGAACAGCATGCTGGCTACGACAGGAGAAGCATCAAGTAGATTCAGGTGACGGCAGTTCGGACTTTAGCCGCTTGATAACTGTTTAGCAATTTTGACTTGCAGATCTGTCTTTATCTCTACAGTATAACTTAAAACTGTGGGAAGAGAAAATAAAAAGCAATTAATCTTTTATCTCTCCACAGTAATAACTGTCTGATGGCATACTTATAGCTGCCAGTAAGAGCAGAGTGAAGTTAGTTTTTACAGACTTGAAGTTTGGTGATGTTGAACATATAGTAAGTTATAATTCAACATTATGAATTTGAAGTGGGTCTAGCTATGATATGATCTGATGGCCACAGCCTTACTTTATAATATGATACAGCGTGTGTACATAGCATTAGCACTCTGCTTAGAGAACTACAGTGTCTTTAACATCCCAGATCATTGCATGGTAAATCTTCCTGCCATGGTCCTTGCTGTCCCTGTGCTCTCTCTAGTTTCAGTCACTTCAGGTTGTGAAGGCTCACTGGCTGAGTGGAGTTTTACAGATTCCTGCATCTTGAAGGAAATGTAGAGTCCCCAGATGTGGGAGCAGAACCTGCAAGAATCTGTAAACTTGGCTACACGGAGAAAATGACCACAACCATTAAAACGTGAGATAATATATCTCCCATGCACTGGGAAAAAACCAAAAATGCAAAACCAGA